GGACAAATTTACGTGTTTGGCCACACCTTCAGGTGATATCTGTTGTCTTAACACAGTGAAGTTTCTTGAATAGTGGTTATTTGGACTATAAAAGCAGGCCTAGACCCCAAGCAGACCTTTTCTCAGACAGGTAGGTTTTTCCGCCTGTTGCACTGGATCGGTTTTCCGTAAACCCATGTGGGTCGCGATCATGGGGGAGAGGGGCGGTTCGCCTCGGCTTTATATTTGATACAGGCTCCGGTCTAAAAAAAAATAAATTGACGTTGGACCACCAGAACTCCGATACACAACAAGAAGAAAGAAATTACAAACTTCCTACCCCCAAACAGCAAAAAGCCACGGTTGTAGACCCGTACCCCTCCCCACCGACAGCTTCATCTCGTTTGCGAGCAGCGTATGAGTGTTGGCTCCGTGTTCTGTTGTCTGGTGGTGGTGGTGACGGTGGTGGTGTTGACGGAGGAGGTGGTGGCATGGTCAGGGGGTTAACCATGCCAGTACTCTTATCCATGGGCTCATCTGGATCTAGCAAAATTACAGACTTTTTGCGACCAGGTGCACAGGCATTGGTGAAAACTGTAGTTCTTTCTTTTGGCAACCTTTCGACTAAAAAGTCTCTTTTTCTTCCCCGGATACTCTGGTGGCATGCCTGGAATACAGTGTAAAAAAAAAAACACTTGAAAGTTGAAACATGTTTTTTTTCTGAATACATTCTGAAGATAACTTGAAGTGGGGCCTGGCCCAGTGCACAAATTTTAAAGGCTTTCCCACCTATGAAATTATTCATGATCTCACATCCAACAATTTTGTTGGTTTTATAAGATTTACCCTCGGAACACTTTCACCAACACAGTCCAGACATTTGCCAGACTTGGACGTGCACCTACACCCACTAGGCGTGATGCCTATAAGGGCTTTCAGTATGAAATATATGTGGTACAGAAATATATTACGTGACGGCGTCACCCTAACTACACCCCCCTCCCCACCCCAATATGCCACACACATCTTCACAACAGTATAAAATACCTGTTTTTGATGATTTGCGATTCTTTCCGGCAACAGTAGATGCGAATCAGGCAGCATTAACCTCCACAGTGTTTTAGCTGTAGCTGTAGTTGTTTACAAAGGCGCTAAATATCTAGATATCAGAGAAGAAAAACAGGGCACGACAACGCTTCGCGGATAGTACTACGCACTCTGACCCTTCCCATCAGGCAATATTGCCAGCTAATCATCCCTCATGTGATCCTGGGCGTGTTACGTCACGGCAGCTCGCCACGCCAGCCACGGCTGGGATGGTATGATCATCGCTTATATAGACAGGAGGTATACCTTGAGGTACGGAGGTACTACCTTACACCTATAACAAGCGATGGATCATGCCCGTGATTCTATGCTTATAAGCTATAATCGTGGTCGTAACGGGTGACTCAAACAGGCCCAGAAAGAGGCAAGGGAAGGGAATGAGGATGTAGTGACTAAAATGAGAAAGTTGGGAGCAAGTACATTTACCATCAAACCTTGCAACATCATCCAGGCACTGCACGAGTCTAAGGCACATGTCTAAGCGCACTTACATTGCCTATTTTCCCGACAAGAGATGAAGACAACGGGTTTTTATGGCCGCAGCGTGCAGAACTAGGAAAAAACAATGCCATTTGTTTTACAGGAAAATTGTTGGTAGCCAAGTATCTCTCATATTTCATTGTTTCGAAATTTTCATTGATCGTCCCTCAACCTTGAATGCCCGAGCAATGACCTGGTCCAATTACAAGAAACATAATACTGTTAAGTTGGCATCACTCCACAGGGTTCTACATCTTTCATTACTAAAGCATGGGGGGTGGGGGTGAGTGATACATATTTGACAGAAAATATTGGAATTTTAAGAAAGAGTCAGGAGATATTTTTATCAGATAGGTTGTTTAACATAGCAGATAGCATAGCTTTTGTATATTCCTGCATTTACTTCAGGTAAATATAAATTGTCTGATTTAGAAGTAGAGACAACACATCAGGTAGCTAATGTTAGAATTCACGTAGAACCTGTGATAGGTCCTGTTAGAAGAAAATATACAATTTTGTAGAGTACACTCCCTATCCCCTTGGTAAAATCTAAATCATCTGCAACCAGCCAACATCTCGAATTTAAAAAAAAAACTACACTATTAGCACGGGCTTATATTCGGTCAAGGCATTCGAGATGTAGTAAGCTAAATAGTAATTTTACCTTCTGTGGCAAAGATCAGAATGGACAAAGGCGAAGGGGATCCACAAGAACGCGAAGGGTGAATGGTGATTATGATGAAGGAAAACATCTGATTGATCTTTGTTTTAAGACCCATAGACAGCTGTTATGGACCGCCTTCAAAACTATTGAATGGAATATCATTAGATGCATTACAGAGGTTACACTACTTACATACTATTAGGTTCTTCTATAGATTATAGTTAAAGGTCACATAAAGAGACACATACGCTGTGGTCAGGTTTTTCTCATGTTTGTTTTTGTATTAGTATAACTAATATACCATAAAATGTTAAGCTTTAAGGTCTCATTCAATGACTGGTATGACTAACTTGAGTATTTCTTTGTTTAATCATTATTACTGCATTATTACCACTTTGTTCACACCTTTGTGGGCTGGTTGTGTTTCGAGAGAATGCTCACACCATTGCAATGGTGAAACATTCATTGGATGTTGTCTATGCTGCGGTGGCCCATCTCAACAATGGTCAGACGCCAGTGATCAACCTTTGTTGGAAGGGTCCTGTCCCTAAGCCTAGGGGAACCCCGTGGAAGGAAGGTAGAGGGGGTAATGCAGGGAACGATCCTGTCCCTAAGCCTAGGAGGATCCCAGAGAAGGTTGCGGGGGGTAATGCAGGGAACGGTCCTGTCCCTAAGCCTAGGGGAACCCCGTGGAAGGTTGCGGTGGGTAGTGCAGGTCCTTCCAAGGCAAGGGGAACTGTAATGAGTAGACAGGAGTGGAAGAAGACAAGGGTAGAAGACTGCATCAGTTTAAGGTAGCTCAAGGTTAAGGTCAGGTTGTGGGAGGGATTGGTTGTCAGGAGGATGAGGTACAGTATATTATATATGCTACAGGGTGGAGTAGTTGTAAGGTTAGGAAGGGCAAGGAGAGTACAGCTGTGTCAGGGGGGGGGGGTACCAGGGGACAGACCAGGTGAAGGAAGGTTAGTGGTAAAGCTAAGAGGAGATACAAGTACCCTGTATCAGCTAACTATAAAGCTAGAGGTAAGGATGTTGTACATTGGCCCCCTTAATCCTTTTGGATGGGTGGAATATGTCGGCACTTGTAAGACTGGTAAGGGTGGGGAAAAAGATGTAAGTTACAGTGTTTCTTGTGAGTCTGGTAAGGAGTCAGGAGATGTTTCTTGTGAGTCTGGTAAGGAGTCAGGAGATGTTTCTTGTGAGTCTGGTAAGGAGTCAGGAGATGTTTCTTGTGAATCTGGTAAGGAGTCAGGAGATGTGTCTTGTGAGTTTGGTATGTAGACCTTTTTTGAGGCAGCAACAGAAAGTCTTCACAGCTGGGGCATTCATTGATGATAAAAGGGACATGTGTTTTGTTCGTTCTATAGATGGGATCTCTCCATATCCAGACTGTAGGTCCAATCACGAAGAAAGTGTTCAAGCAGATTACAGGAAGACGTGTCTGCCATTTTGTCCGTCAAACTTCGTGGCATTCGTGCAGCGGTGGAAACGAGGTCATCCGAAAAAAAGTGAAAATTTGCTGTTACGGGACGTGTAACTCCGACACCAGCCATTGGTCTTAACCCAATATGGCGAACGATATCATTAACTCTAGTGTAACCATGTTTTTCTCAGTAATTTTTTTTTTTTCATTTGAACATTTCACTTAGGTTGAATTCAAGTGGTAATTTAGAGCCCAGGATAAGATTGAAGGAAGCAAGAAAAGGTACAACTCAGACATACATTATGCGAAATATTGACTCATCCTTGTCCTCAATACTTTCATTTAAATGTTAGTATCCACCAAGTCTAGCAAGCATGATGAAGAAGGAGTAAATGACTGAAGATGAAGAGGAGAAGCAGGTCGCCCACATCATCAGAATGCAGAAAAAGGATTTCCGAACGCATTGCCCACCTGCAGTTAAAAGCGCTTGAGAAAAGTTTGTCCCATAACGAAAATATGGATCTACAAGTCAGGGATGAGTTGACGTCCTTCCTCTCGCAACTTGGCATATAGAACAATAAAGCCGGGATGTTGAACACGCTTGAGTCATCTACTATGCTACAGCTATATAACGGGGATGGGTGAACGTGAAAAATAGGTAAAAATTATATAGTCACCTTAAGGTTGTGATAGTCTAATAGTATGTTTTAATGTGACATATTATGTTTAAAAATAAAGTTACAATAAACTTTAAACATATGCAGTTTCAATGTTTGAAAAATTAAGGTTCAATGAATTTTATATATGGGCATCATTACTATTTCAAATGCAGCCACTTTCTATATAGCATAACTACTTTTTTGTTGAAAAATTATTACAATACGCATGACTTCTTTTCAGGCATTATCGCTCAGGCTATACTTATGCATAAGCGTAGCGTCTAAAAACGACTGCCAACAACATTGTTAAAAAAACCATGCAAATCTTCAGATACATTCAGGAAAAAAGTAGTTTTGAGTATCACATAATTAAAATACTTTTACATAGTATTACATAAAAGAACTGAGGGACAAAGGTGTGCAGCTTGTAATTCCAGAATTTATGGGTCAGAGATTCCAGCCCACCCCACGAAGCCGCCAACTCTGAATCCATTTCCAGTGCAAGGATTCACATCGAAAAAAAAAAACATCAAAAGAATACATACTTTCCATATCCACTATCACAGAGCAGATATTCAGTGTCTGTGCATACATGACCAATTTTCAGATGCCAATTATAATCTTCGTCAGGGTCAAATTAGTAGGGTCAAATTCACTATAATTTGTGAAATGAAACTTGGATGTTGATACTGATAAGATATGAATCGAGATTATGTTAGAATTTTGTATGGACTTGTGTATATATATTGCATTTCTATGATTTAATATTGTATCTGAACCGAAGCATTTGTAAAAGCTCTCCTGAAAAGCGGCTCAGGCCGAAGAGTGGTACTATTAGTTACATACTGTACATTTTCAAGGCTAAAGAAAGGTTGAAAAACAAATAGTGCAAATAGTATCACACAACACAGGAGAGCATTTTTATGCCAATTAGTTATTACTTTTTAATTAGTTATTAATTAGTTAATTATTTATACCTTTATTGTACATTCGTGCCACGACGGGCTAGGTACAGGTCAAGACTTAACACATAACAAACATAATGTAGAAAAATGTAGACAAAAGATACACTACTTGACTTAGACATACATACATAAGGAACATACAAGGATACTATACTAGGCTAATACAAAGTGTTCTAGTTACTGAGCTAATACAGATTGGTCAACTTCTTCTCGCTTTTTTGTACAATGGAAAATGTGGGAACAGATCATATTTGTGATACAGGGTTTGTCTAGTCGTACATTACAGGTTGGTATTCATGTGAAGTTTTCCTGTGTTGTTAAGGACCGAAAAAATTGCCGACATCACAGAGTCTTCTGCAAGCTATTCAAAAGCAGGGTATATAATCATCATCATTTTAGGAACCTGACGGAGGGGAGCAAGGGGCCAGTACCTGGCCTGGGCACTTAGGCAGGTAGGCATTTTAGTGCGGATGAACTAACAAGACAAGTCAACAACAACAAAAGACGCAATACAAGATATGCAAAGCTGCAGAAGATGTTCACAATGGAGCGCACAACCATCCCTATCAAGTTACTAAGAAAGTACCCAATTGTTATCTGAGCGGGGACATTTCGACATACAGGCAGACGACATCATGCCGACGTTGGTGAAACTGAAGCAGCAATATCTGAGACAACCAAGAGTTCCAGACCAACAAAGTAAAACCAAGGTGAAAAAAAGTGCCGTATCAAATTTTGTTACATTAAACCCCTGATACGACGATCAAAGTCAAGTCAGCTTATAAAATCATGGAACGGACTACTTTCTTTCGCGGAAGGAAAATGGAAACGTCGAAAACTGTTGACGTGGCGATGCGGTTGAGATCAGGTTAACACCGTTCCCGCGCGGGGAATGTTAGGTCTGT